GCGACGAATTGGAGACAGGTTGTGATGAGATTCAACTGAAAGGCTTTGTCGTCGGAGATACCGGCCTCTTTATACATATACAAGTCAGAGAGAGACACGACTGGGGAAGTAAAGGATGTGGATGGAGACTCACGCTCGAAGAAGTAAGTGGCCTGGTTCGCAATCAAGTTACCCGCAAAGTTCTGCGACGCATAGATGAGACAAGTGATGATTGTTCGTCTGCGATCGGTACCCTTCCAAAGATCGAGAAGCGTGGGACTACCGCCTGTTTCCTCCTCAATCTTGACGGTACGCTCGATCATGGCGAGGGATTGGTGGGCTTGTTCTTCGGTTTTGGCGCCCAGGCGTTTGATAGATTTCAGGGCCTCTTCTCTGCGGCCGCGGCGGATGAGCCACCAGGGGGACTCGGGAGCGAAGAAGAGGAGGACCATGAGGGGGGTCTAGAGATGATTGATCATTAGTGGTTGTTGACTTATGGCATTGGAGGAGGGGAGTGTACCGGGAAGATCCACTGCAAGGCAAGTGGTGCGCGCCATTCCCACTGCGTATTGAGAGAGTTGTAACCGTAGGTGGCGCCCGCGACGATGATGGAACCAATGGACCAACTCATTTGCAGGGTGGCCGTGACTGCAGCGCGAAGGGGCAGAGGGACGACTTCACTGGCGTAGGCCGGGGAGTTGGCGATGAAGAAACCCCATGGGACACCTTCTAGGGCTTGGCCGACCACGAGGAGGGTGAGTGAGTTCGCCTATGCAGATAGATGTTAGGTGAGGTGGAAGTGACATTCATGTAAGCAGGTCACGTACGAAGAACGAGATGAAAATCGTCGCATTCATGAGAACAAGACCCAGCAGAGTCGTCCAGCGGTATCCGATCCTGTTAGTGATCGGTCCGGCCAGATACACACCGACGAAGGCACCGCATTGGCCAGATTGGAATAGAGCACTTTGCCATTTGGTCGGGATGGCCCAGACACCGGGTGAGGTTTCGACGCCGAAGACCTTGGAGAAGTGATCGAGTGCGACGAAGTTGGTATTGAGGAACATGTCGAAGGATTCCATGACCTACGAGAATTAGTATGTCAGCACATGGCAATTAATTTGGTGAATGAATGTAGACAAAGCTTACAATGGTGAAGCACATGAGGAACGCCCAGAAACAAGCCCAGGGATACTGCTTCGCAGCCTCCCAGACACCCATCTGATGCTCGTAATTCTCGCCATCGAAGGCTTCATGCATCAAATCGGGGTTATCCAGAACCTCAGACTGGTGGATGTCCACCTTCTCGGTCTGAGGCTTCTCATCCCGCTGTTCGGCGACGCTTTCAGCCGCCATCTTGTCGGATATCAGGGCTCAACCACCGAGTGACTTGGGAAGAGCTACGAGAGGTGGGGAAAGAAAGTCTCAGAGAAGCGAAGGAAGAAAAGCATCGGCCAAGAGGGCGGGATGTAGGTCTTAAATTGACCTGACTTGATTAATCTACCCCATGTAACTGTGTGACTTGGAAAGTGAGTGCCGCCCGGCGTTTTCCCCCTTTCCACCACAGCCCAGGAATAAGCAACCCAGCAAGGGCGCAAGTGAAAATGCAGGCCCTCGACCCAAAAAATACGAGCTAAATGAACTCAAAATGAGACAAGTCCAGGTCACTAACGTGGTTGAACATGTGGTTGCTTGTCTCCACAGAATTACCCCATTGGTCCGGGATAAGCAGGGCTAATGTACTAATTTAGTAGTTAAGGACCACCAACATTACCCAGCGGTGACCAGCTTTGCGGGGGAAATGCCAATTGGAGATGCGGGGCCCCAGATGACTCCTGAGATTCCCGCATGGACCTCGATTCCTGTCATCCTCGGCTGGTGGTTGGCGGAATATCTCACGCCACAGCGCGTTGGGATTGGTTGTGAAGCCTTTAGCTAGGGGGCGGCCAGGTTACAAGCCCTTTTGGTGACACTGAAATCCTCACCATAGGAGGCCTTGCTTGATTTCAGCTAGTTCCGGGCAAGATATTAACCACGCGACACGTTTGGGAGGATTGATTCAGTTCTTTGACGTTGGATAATGATATGGAGGTATTAAGACTTCGCGTTGATCGAATGGTTATCATAATGAATGATGTGTATGTAAAATGCAGCAATGCTAAGAATATACCAAGCCCTGCCAAGTACCCATTAAGCCCCCTACCGTTTTCTAGGCTTTTCTGCCGAACCCTCGGCTACGTGCAGAGAAAAAACAATCTCAGTCCCAGTGATGATTTCACCTTCTGGGACTACCACCTAATCAAGCCACTTGTAATACATTGACCAAGCTTTGATTTACGCGTGACTTGGTGGTTGCCACTAGCTACATTCAGATGGTCACATTTATTGGTTGCAGTAGTAGCTGATTTCCCGTGGATAAGCAAGCCGCGGCTGGCTGGATTGGTTACAACGCCACCGTTGTTCCTGTAAGTCCTGGGCTTCGTACACTCCGGCAAGCCATTACCTCTGTATCATTAAATGTCGATAGTTGCAAGATAGATTTTGGTGATGTTCCATTGCTCCTTCTCTAACGTCTGCCTGAAAGCATAACTAAATCCGCGGTCCTCGATTAATCAACAATACTCAATGAACAGCAATGTCTAACCGAGCACCATCCAGACCCGGCTAGACGCGCCTCATTAGGCAAGGATGAAGCCTATCCGGCCTAGGAGGTGATATAGAATCCCGCCACCTGCGGGCTAGCGCAAACGCAACACAGGCCTTAGAAGTCACCACCAACCATAATTACTCCAGAGACACTGCATCGCGCACATGTGAATTTAACCGAAACTTCTAACAGCCCGACGCTGGGGCCGCATCCTGACAGCTCAACGGTAGCTTACCCCAGCTCCACGTGCGTGGGCTTGCGGCTTTAGGAAGCTTTCCAAGCTACTGTACGTAGACCTTTTTCGTTATTGCGCCACCGTGCTATGGACGTAAGGCGTTATCTCTATCTTCCGCATAGCGGAGGACAGAGTCATGCGTCAGTGCCTTGGTATGAGCTGAGCTTCGTTGGGCTCAATACTCCCTTGTCGCTTTTCGCACCCTACGAACAAGATTCACAGGATGAGCGCCCTAACCGAATGATAGATTCTATCCTGTCTGTCGATGAATAGTGCATCTCATTTAAAAGCTCCCGCAGGATTTCTAATTTCCTTCGGCTAATATATGCTGTAAACTAATCAAGGATACCGCACGTTCTGGGTAATCAGAAGTCTGACCTCTCAATATGGTCTGATCTGACCGAAATAAACTTCCTCTACTTTTCACGACCGTTAATGATAAAGTTGCCTTGCTGATGCTCTGCTTTTGGTTCTATAGGGCTAAACCGGTTCGTGAGCTCACGTGGCTCTTATAGTTCACTATAGCCCGAAATATGTAAAGCCCTGCAAGTAATCAGAGAGTGGGCAGGACAGCTGGCGGTAGAGCTTCCATTCTGGACACTGCATGCGATCAGCTCATTGCTGTCTGGATTGCTATTATGCGCATAGAGATTGATATAGTACGCTGTTGTTATTACCAGCGAAGTGACATGTCTTTATAGCACACACGGATAGGGCAGAGTCTTCAGTTGGCAGCCGGCATTCATGCCTCGGGCACTAAACATAGCATCGAACTTCCGCAAGGGATGAGTAGTCTTGCCCAACTACTTCAATAACCTAGCAGACATACACATCTCATATTCAACCCTCATCTTTCACCTGCTAATTTCACATAGCTCTCATGTCCAAGGAGTTAGACGTTAACCCATCGGAAGTTGAATTCCTCGAAACGTTAAAGGAAAGCAGATACTCGGTAGTGTTCAAAGTGCGTTTCCGTGAAAAGCTATGCGTCATGAAAGTGGTAAGCCAGCACCCCCATTGAATATACTGCCTTCTCACTTATAATCAAAGTACCATGATCGAGAACCAAACGAACTTGACCCTCCCGACCGCATAGTCAACCTCTTCATCTCCGAATCCACCGCCTACCACCGACTAGAATCCAAAGGCTTATGCCAGAGAGGCGTTATCCCAAACTTCTACGGGACGATCAGAAAGATCCAACCGGCTGATTGGCCAGATCTCCACATGTTCCTTAACGACAAACTACCGCCCAATGCTGTCCTAATTGAGTATATTCCACAACTGCAGCAAATTGACCTATCCCACTACTCACCACAACGCCTGGATAAACTCCGTGAGATTCTCGACGATATCCACGCAGCGGGGGTTCTTCATGCTGATCCAAAGCCGCGTGATATGATGGTTTCCGTAGCAGAGGAGGAGGAAAGGGTACTCTGGATCGACTTTGACTCTGCACAGACATTCACAGAGTTCGTTGATCTCTCGCCAAGACAACAAAAATGGTTCGATAAGGAGAATGAGATGATGGATTATTTTGTTAATGCGTTGGTGAGATTTTGTGGTTTCATTGTTTACTGGTTTTGTTTGCTGACTGTGGAATAGGCGAAGGATTTCGACGGAGGAAAGCTGAATCGCACGATTTCGTACTATTATGAATGGTACGTGTAGATAGATAGCTTTTAATTTGAGTCACACAGGCAGTATGAGAGTTTGGTGCTCTGAGTAGTATCTTAACTATAGTATACACTAGAAGTATTAACGTTGAACGGTTAGTCTTTAGTACGTCAGTATCATCTTTCCAGTGGAACACAAGCATCGGAGATTCTTAAATTTAATACTATATGGCCTTGCGATATGCCTCTGCCCCTGCAGCACGTGGTATTTTACGAAAACAACAAACAGGCAAGATGATGCACGGAAAAATACGGAGTGAGTTTGTTATTAGTATCACGTGCAGCACAACTCGAGCTATACCGGAAGTAACAAAGCGGTATCATACATTGAAACAGAGTAATCGCGAAATAGTTACGGGTAATTTCTTTGTCATTGATTCATTCATATCTTCTTCATTATATATGTCTTAGTAATTTCATCACATCTCAATGAAACTGTGCTGTGTCAAGTCTGGCCAACGCTATGGGTATCAACGGAAAAGTGCTATTTTTAGTAGTCGTGTGGTGGCCATTTCTCATGCAGCCCAGGCATCCTTCAACACCTTCTGTCCCTGAGCCAGCGTTTTCGCGGGAACCTCCCCCAGCCATTGTGGCTCGAGACGATCAAGGTTCGCCTCGATCTCCCAGGCGCGGCCACCCTCGACGTACATCGAGGTACCGTTGAGTGAGTCGTCCACGAGCACGCCAGCAGCCACCTGAGCCACCTGGAGAGGAGAGCTGATGGGAAGGCCCTCCTCCTCCCACCGGTCGCAGAGCTTCTTTGTTACAGCCGGGTGAGTCTGGGTCATCCAGGGGCAGATCGTGTTGATGCGGAGGTTGTGCTTGTAAGGGGAGATGAAGTAGGGGCGTAGGGAGCGCATTAGGCCTTGCACACCGTGCTTGGCTGCTTGGTAAACAGACACACCGGGGGTTTCCTTGAAACCTGCGGCGCAAGAGAATAATGTAATGGAGCGGTCTACTCCAGGGCCACGGTTATGGCGGAGATAGGCACCAGCGAGACGAACGACGTAAAGGGTTCCAATGAGGTTGACGTCAAGGTCTCTGGTGGATGGGGGCTTTTCATTGTTAGCAGGATCCCTCAGTAGGTAAGTTGTGAGGTAGCTTACCTCGCGCACAGCCTGGAGGCTTAGGGCATGGTCAAACCAGTTCTCCTTTGGTTCCATACTGCCAGCAGTAACAACGACATGATCAATGCGCTTGTAGGTCTTGAATGTGAAGTCAAAGAGATCAAGCACCGATTGGTAGTCCGTGATATCAGTCTCTTGGAAAGAGGAGCGCGGAGGCTTCGGGGGACCAGAGGGGTCCCAGTAGACAGGCCATTTGTCACGGCACTTCCGGCTCAAGGGGGCACCGGCGGTAGAATCAATGTCGCCAATGATTACGTAGGCGTTGTTCTCACAGCAAAGCTCTACAAGACTCGCGCCAATACCATTGGCACCTCCTGTTTCAGGCATACGTTAGCATTGGCGATGTGAGAATCGCAAGACGCGTTTCGGGAACCACGTACCCACAATGAGAACAACCTTTTCCTCCAAAGCTTCCCGAGTGATGTCAGGATGAAATTGGGTGATAGGGGTGGCCGAATTGGAGGGCTGAACAGGCTCAGTGGGGGCGATCATTGTGATAGGTTCGATAAGAAGAAGAGATAATTTGATACGAATCAAAAGAAAGAAGGAAGGATAGAAGCATGGATTGAGGACAACAGCTGGGGTTCGAGGGGCGTTTTATGCGGCACGACGGACGGATTGTATTTGGCATCTTTAGCACACCTCTCCCAACCTTGCAGGGGACGAGAACATGTGGTCTCAAGCCAATGAAGATGCAGGAAGGAGAGCTGCTCGCATTTTGGGACTTCTGGACCTAGTGGAGACTGTATCGGGAAAGTGTAACTGTCGATGAGAGAGCGGGATGAGATAGGCGGCGCAGCTGCACCAGAATCGGATTTCGTTGGACGATGCTGAGGGGAACTCCACCATAAGTTTGATTCTCCGCCTGCCAGACGTCTTATCCACAGTGGAACGACTGATCGGCGATTGTGGGGGGAGGATGAGGGAATCCGGGGAACATCTGGAAAAGTGGGTTTGTTGCTCGAGATGGAGATATGTCGAAGAGAAAAATGGCCGAAACGATAGCAGTTGCGGATGGATAGGGAAGTAGGGGAAATAGGGACGAACAAAAGAGAGAAGGTTAGACGATTCGGAGTGCCTGGCAAAAGTCCCACTTGCTCTCCGTGGATCTCGAGTTTCCCCTCTCGGATGACCCCATTCCTATCCCCGTCTCCTCCCATTCATCCAAGCCGTTCCGATGCTTGGTGCATTTACTCCTTAGCATTTTCTAGTCACTACCGGGGTCACTGCCTGCGATGGAAATGAAAAGATAACCACTAGTGGAGTGTCTACGCCCCCTTCTTCTCACCACGGAACACAAGAATTCACTCACCCCCCCTCTACCACAATGGAGGAATCATGGATCAATGTCTCCTCAAGCTACTCAGCCGTCCTTGGTTAGCTTCCTGCAATCGGTTGGCATCCTGTCAGCCACCCTCTGCAAGCCCGGGCCAGTTAACAACGATACACAGTAGAGGTGGCTCAAGTCCATGCCGAGCGGATAGGGAACAGCCAGCCACGGAGCGGCCATTGCAACCTTGCACTGTAGCCTCGACAGTGTTGGCGTCGGAGCAATGCAGGGGTGTACTGCTCGAATCAATTGATTCGATGATCCGTAACCCGTTACGGTTACCGAGACAATTGGAGGCCACTGAGGATAATATACATGATTGGCTGAGGGCGGATTTAGCAGGATGCCGAGACATCATCCCAGCAACGGCTGGCTATGCGTTCCACCCGAGGCTGATAGGCGCAGTGAGGGCCTATCACAGTAATAGGCAGGTATTGCGCGACACCACTGCCAGTGCTGCCACTCGGAAATGGTCCTCATTTAGCCTTTCATGTCGTGGCGCATCCTGTCGTGGCCTGTGCGCAATTGAGTTCCGTCTCACTTTACCTTTTGAAACGTGCAGCCCGCTTTGTAGGAGCTTACTCTCGACCACTGGACCGCCGATGTCTGCGCAATTAGACGTATGATTACACTTCAACTACATCCAAACATACATGTGAAGCTAGAAGGCACGAATGGTGATGCAAGAGGCTTGCCGAAGTGTGGTAAGGTCAATGAGGAGGACTCGATGCCAGTACAGCGCTACGACTGATCACGGAAAAAGCACCATCCGAGACTTAGTCGGGGTCTGCTAAGACCTTCATTTCCAGCCGGCAGCAGCTAATCCCGGACGGTAATCCTGCCGGATGGACCTTGCCTATCTTGTTCCATCTTGCAGCAACTGCGGACTACCGTACTCCGTCGGGGATACTTACATGTTGCTCTACTCACTTGAGTGCAGAGGCCGTTAAAAGATGGTAGTGATCGGACGCAGTAGCGTGGGACTGGATCAGCCGAAGATTCCGATGGAATCGCATCGATACTTCGTCGCCTGTACTTTTTATCGTGGATCCCCACTGGCTCCACTAGGCAATTGCAAGTACATAGCATGGCAAGCAGACAACCGCATTGTGCCCAATTCCCTCGCAGACCATCTGGATGAAGATCGATCGGCTTTGAGCATTAAACATTTGCCACCCCCAGATCTGTCCAAGTTGATCCTTTTTATCGTCGGTTATGGTAGCCGAAAGTGGGTTACGGAGTATCCAGTTAGACAATTGATAAAGGGGAGCTAGGGGGATGGTATCTGTCGGTTGAATCGCTAGAGTAGACAAGTGACCAGTTTGAAACCGCCGAAATGGGCTGTCGTCGGTCACTGATCGGCTAGCTATTGGGCTATAGAGCATAGCCCGACAGAAGCTAAATGGCGAGCTGATCCCTATCCATTCAAAGCCTGATCACATCAACCCAAACCTTGGAGTGTCATATGGCCAGCCATATGGATGTTGCGGATATATGTGCCCGGTCAGTAGCATCCCATGATATTATGGTGCTATGAGCTCTGTACCTAGAAGCTCTGGCAGTGTCGCACAATCTCGCGACCGGCAGATAGGCCATTTTAGTTTAACTATATATTACTTAATGAACGATCGACCACAGTGACAATATGAGTGGCTTGTCCTTGCATATTATTTAATGCCTCTAGGCAACAAATATGGGTAATGGACATGGCCGTTCGCCGATCGGGCCATCGGCGATCCTTGAGTTACCGCCTTAGGTGTGTCCAGAAATGCTTCATAGAGCACATCCAACTTTCTAAGCTGAAGCTTGGACCCTGTTGCTTATGAAGATGTGACCCATGGTAGAGACCTGCCAGAAGCAGGCAGCCGATGGGGTTACATGATAACATGGTCTACGTCACCACCCGAGCATCCAGACCCTGCCGGTTTATAAATGGTTTATCATGTACAACCCTGGATGACATATGCTGGATTAAATGGCAACTGCTGTTAAAATGAACGGATTGTCAAGGTGCTTGGGAAGTCAAATCACACAGCACGCGAAAACACCTTTCCTCAGGAAGTGCAATACGATCCCATTACTACGTCTTTCCGGCATTCCTCTTCGAAGTTACTCAGACCGGAGCTCAAAATACAACGGCAACATGACTACTCAACCTCCCAAGAACGAGATGGTGTACATGCCAGGGGTGATGTCACCGAGTCGATCGTTTGGGGTATTCCGTAAGGTCCTTCACACTGGTCTGTATTCGCAATTTGTGGCGATGGAAGTCCCGGTCAACGGCGAAATTGGTGACGAGGTAAGCTGTTCTTCCCACGAACGACTTATTGTGATATATGAGAAAATTAACCATGACTTCCAGATTCATACCGTCGATCAAGTGCTGATATTCACCCATGGCACTGGCAAGGCAATTGTTGCTGGGAAGGAACAAGAGGTCAAACAGAACGATGTCGTCATAGTCCCGGCTGGCACTCAACACCAGTTTTTGAATATCGGAAACACGCCACTCGAGGTAGTCACTATATACTCCCCGGCTGAACATGACCCGCGTACAGTACATCAAACCAAGGCAGAGGGCGATGCACAGGAAGAGGCTGGCGAGGATGAAGCACCAGAGTGGAGTCAACGGAGCAAGTCGGAGAACGAGAAGATTGGGCTGGTCAAGCCGCCATGAGCAGGGAATGGTATATATATTCGAACGATCAGTCGGATGTAGCTACCCGGAGTCTATGTTAAGTTCTTTTGAACAATTGGCTGAGATGATTGTAAGACACGGTGCCACGTCGATATGAGCGTAGTCAGACCGAGCCTAAACAGTTCTAATTGAAATCGAGCATACCCATACTCATGTGATACAACTACCCCAGGTGCTGTGAGCCTGATATAGGGCCCGGGTTTGAAAAGTATCTGATCTTGGAGTCGCGAAAAATCCCGGTCGGCAATCATAAACGTAGACAATGCTGGTATCTATTAGTGACTACATAACATCGGTACGAAGTCTATGTTATGGCAGGGGCCGCTAGAGGTTTTACAGACATTGGAAGGATCTGCTCAGCCGGTACTGAGCTATTTTAAGCTTCTAAGAAAAAAAAAAAGAAGAAGAAAGAGGATTGAATTGGTCGGATTCCGATCCCATTGGCCTGCGAATCTGACCAACATGATCAATCAAAGGTGAAGTTGCTCACTTCTTCTGTGATTCCGCTGGCTTGGCTGACTTTGGAAACGCATTTAGGTTGAAAGAAGAAAGAGAATCATATTCCCCCCAAAGAAAGAAAACGAGGTAAATGAAAGGAGAAGAAAACAACAAAAAAGTGGACGCCAGCGAGCTGGGACTCTGCAACCGATGACTCTAAAGAGATGTCACAAGTACCCCAAGGAACGGTACATAATTTCCCTTGCCAACGTGGCGTCCTATCATGTTTATGAAACTGTCTCGGAGGCCTAATCCTGGATCTCATCAATACGAGATTGTTCGCTGTCACTCTCTGAATGACATCCTGTACTACCTCGGAGTCTCTATCCCAATGAGGAGTCGTTGTCTTTGTTTGTATACCCAGCCCACCAAGATGTCGTGCTCTATAAGGAGTGACATCCGGGCTACACAAATGTTACCATCATTTATCTCTCTCATTTACCCAAGGACTACCCCTCATACGTTCTGACCATCTTTCGGAACAACCCATTCCCCGGGTTTCTTGCTAGGAGCAGAATAAAGCTCTTTAAACTGCTTTAGAAGCGTTCTCACAACCAAGCCCCCATCGCTGCCATCTCCAATTTATCTAGTGTCGCCCCCCACCCCCCGCCACCTTCTCTCTCTCCCCCAAACGAAGGTAGCTTACAGCCGAAATCCTCGATCACGGTATTCAGCATAAACAGTCCAGAAGAAAACCATTGCCCAAAATGGATGAGGGCGAACTTCGGTAAGGCTTTCCAAGAGTCCAACCTGCATATATAGGATCAATTTATGTAGACTAAATGGCATGAACAGGGCTACCAGAGACGATGTCAGGTGTTCGAGCGAAAGGAACAGGCAGAGGGATGAAGAGATGAAGTAGGTGAAAATTGGAAAAGTACAAACAAAGAAGAATAGAAGATATCAAGAGGCTGACTGAAAGGTAGGCAGATGGCTGAAATGGGTAGCCAGATGGCTAAAATGAAGAGGCAGATGGATGATATGAAAAAGCAGGTAATTAAAATGGATTGGCAGATGGCTGAAAGGAATAGGCAGATGGCTGAAATGAACAGACAGATGGCTGAAATAGGAAACATGCGTCGGAAAACAACGTTTACAGAATTGATTCGAGAATGCCACAAATCGCTGTCAAAGTCGATAAGAGTCGAGTCGCCTTCGGGGTGCACCAAGGGAACAATACCCCCACCCACAGGGAAGGTCTGCCCCGATAGGTTCGAACACTGGGACGAATTCGAGGGCAAACAGGAAGAGATTTATCGCTCCGTCTGCAAGTTCTTGAAGTCAACAAGTGATGATGAAAAGCGGTATTTCTCATCAATTGATGCCATTCGAGATACTGGAGAACAAGTTGTGAAAAATGCACTAACTAGCGAGAAGGATCTTGAGATCCATCAGAGGATTACAGTGGAAACTTATGTTGTACGCATAATCACTGAGCTCAGCAAGGTTCCCGAGGCCCGGGAGACATATCGATTGGATTTCGATAATGTCCACTTTATGAATCATCTTGGCAGACTGCAATCATGCTTCAGAGTGTTAAACCTGGAATCTGGATTCAATGAGCAGTTCAAATTGAAGCCCGACTCGGTGTTCTTTACTTACGATCGTAAAGGATATAGCGCTCCAGTTTTGGCGGGGGAGTACAAGCCTCCTCACAAGTTACCGGTGGAGACTCTTCGCGCAGGCCTGAGGACGCATGACTTCTACGAAGAGATTGTTGCAAGCCAGACTATCCCCACCGAAGAGGGAAAAGCGGCTGAATACAGGGCAACTCGTCTCACCGGGTCAGCGCTAGTCCAAGGATATCATGCCATGATCCTACTTGGGCTTGAGTACGGGTATGTAACCACTGGATTAGGCATAGTCCTACTGAGGGTGCCTTCTGATAACCCTCGGATTCTCCAGTGGCACCTATGCGAGCCGAACAAGGAGGTGGCTCAGGGGGATGACCAGTGGTTCTCACGGCCGCTCACAGCTATTGCACGAATCCTATGTATAACATTGATGGGCTTTGGCTCACAGCGTCAAACCTCCAGTTGGTCTGCCAAGACAAAGGGGTCACTGAAAACCTGGACCACAAGTTTCGATGTGACATATTACAGCCAGATAAATGACCCTACAACCTCCGAAGATCTTTCAGACAAATCGTATCATCCTTCCGGGCCCGGCAAAGATCCGGAATCTACCAGACGGATCCAGACCCGTTCGCGTGGTGGGTGCAGAGAGTCCACAGACATAAACCAGCGAGAGGATAAACAAGATCCTGATCCCGACTCTGTCCGACGAAAAAAGCGTCGCTTTAGTGATTCTATCTCTTCTATATCCCATGCAAGGGAGCTGCGCTCAAAGCGTGTTAAACGGGGAGGCGATGAAACCAAGAGTAGTAGCCATCAAGATACACGATTCTGCACGCACAAATGCCTCCTTGGTCTGAAAAGGCGCGGCAAGCTGGACAGGAACTGTCCAAACTTTGAGCTTCACCAAGAGAATGGATCTAACTATCATCGCACAAATACTCACGGTCTTGTCAAGCTCATCAAGACTGCAATCCTTGACTGTGCGGAACCGATGGGAGAGTGCGGATTATCTGGTGCGCCGTTCAAGATAACCTGTCCCAGGTATGGATATACTATTGTCGGCAAAGGTACTACCTGCTATCTTTGGCCCCAGTTGAAGCGTGAGGGAGACATTTACCGGATTCTTCAACCCGTGCAGGGATCTGCAATTCCTGTTTTCATCGGCAAGCTTGACATGCACGACATGATATTTCTCTGGGGAGTGGGAAAAATCCGGCACATGCTACTCATGGGGTGGGGAGGGGAGGAAAGTGACAAGGTCGAGGTTGACAGGCGTATCATGCGGAGAAGCCGATCTAAGTCAAACAAAGACATCAAGTCTCTTGGTGTTAACCATCAGGACCTCGAATGGAGAAATGTTCTGTGGAGCGCAGAGCTGAATCGAGCTGTGATCATTGACTTTCATTTGTGCACATTCAACATAGACTTGGTGAAAAAGAAGCCGAAGTGGCTCACCAGAGAAAATCCCATGCTTGATGGGATCAAGAAGGATCGAGAGCGCTTGCATTGCGAATACCATGGCGTATGCCTTCATCTCCCAGATGGAAAATGTCCAAACGTATTGTTAGACATATATTGATACAACCTTCGCCAGGAGCATCTGGGTGTTTCTGTGATGTTGGGGAGGTTGAGCATCTATGCATTTGGTAGTATCCTACGACGCAGTCTCTAGTGATAGGTCTTTGTCTTCATCAATTTAATTATTGTACGCCTTGAAACGGAATGAACTAATGAGAGTTCGTTATTTTTCTACTTCTGGGTTTTAATCCCCTACACTTTGCATCATACTATTACCAAAACGCGGAAAACGATGATCCCATGTGATGAATTTATCTAGTACTAGTGGTAATGGCTGGCACCAGCTCACAATTCTTAGATGTGATCATAGGATTATGGGATCAAGGCATAGTGGTTACTCTATCTACTCTGACCAACCGTCAATCTTTTAGTATAGCCTACTATTTAGCAGAAGAGCGGCCATAGCAGGCCAGGCTTCAGTATTAAAGGAGGACCTAAATAGCCCATGTTATAATATATACAATGTTCTAAATTACTGATAATCGGCCAAACTAAAGGTGTCGAATACACTAAACTTCAAAATGAGTGAAAGATGGTTGAATGCTAATTCTATTACTTTAGCTAATTACCTTTGTCACCGAATTCATGTCACTTTGGAATGACATACTGGCAGTACTTTGCTGTGACCTCATCTGCTTCTTATAGGATGCAGAACCAGTCATAGATTCATCAAATAGTAAAGACAGTCTTGATAAAAATAACTCCCATGAACACGAATAAGCGATGACAGTTTATAGTTCATCATAGTCTCCCGTTCAACTTGAAATTCGTACCATATTCAGTGGATCTAATGAGACGCTTTTATATATACTTCTTTCTCTTTTTGTATAAATTCAATTGATTTTCATATTTCTTTTTTTTGTTTTCTCACTTTTTTCTTTTTCTTTTTTCATTCGTTCCTTATTTCTTTCTTTTTAAAGAAAAGTTCATTCTTATCCCTAAGTCTGGCAACAATGTGCACTAAAGTAAAAAAGAAGAATGCGATCGCAACGACCACAGATTGGCTTAGCGTAGGTAGTCATTCTCCCAACCCCAAATCCATCATCCCCCATCACTTGACCCCTCCCCTCGGAATCCAGCGAGCACCTAAGTAACTAACCCCATCCCAACCTAGTTCAGTCCATAAGAATTCATCCTACTCTTGTCACCAATCCCCGGGAAGTCTCTCTCCCCGGCTTTTCTCCGGACGATTCAAGACCCGCGGGGTACCGCGCAAATAGTACTGATTGGCCCGAGCAAGAACCAACTGGAGCCCTCCGCATTCGGCTCGACCCGCCTATGTGGAGGAATGAGCCAATGGACACTACAAACAAACAAAGCTAGCGATATTAGGGGTCTGGGCACGAAGGTGTGGTTGGTAGGAATAAGACCTGATGACGAGGCCGCAGCTCGGGATTACTCCTTTTTGCTTACTGCTTTTTTCTTTTTTCCCCCAAGAGAAGTGGTGAGGGAATATAGCCTAAGTGGATTGGTCTGATTAAGTACTACACTGCATTATTTCCTTGTAATTACGGCTAAAGAGGGGGTGATGAGAGTAAGTGAGTAGCCAATCGTGCATTGTTTGCTCCTTCATGGCTGGCTTGCTTCCAGCCGTTCCGGATAGCCGGGCCTTTCCTTCTGTCTGTCTTTTCCCTCCCCTTTGGTATTAGGTTCGTCCATCCCCCATTGATATGATACTGTTTGCTCCACCACATGCGGCTGGCTTACGCCGAGGGAGGAGTCAGAACCACATCGTCCGCATGGACCGCCTTCTCGGGAATCTTCTCGGTAGATTCAATCATCTCGCCGTGAAGCAGTGCCGTCAAGCCGATCTCGCGATCAATTTGTTGTCGGAGCGCCTCGTCTTCGGCTGCCATGCCCTCAGAGCCGAATAGTTCGTCCATCTCTTCCAGTGTGCGCCCCTTGGTCTCGGGAACGAAGAACCACACGTAGACCGCTCCGATCACGGTAATGCAGCCGAAGAAGATGAAGGTGCCGTAGGTGGAAGCGGCGATGAAGGGGGAGGTGGCTAGACCGACACCGAAGTTGTTGAGCTGGGAGTAGTCAGAATAAGTGTTTCGATGAAAGAAGTGGTACTGGACCACTTACCCAGTTGCTGCTACCGCCAATACTGACGCCCTTGGCACGCATGCTGAGCGGGAAAACTTCGGATACCACGATCCATGCGCACGGACCTGTTTGATATAGTAAGCATCACTGTTGGTGAGAGCGGGTTATTGATCGGATGTCACGTACCCCATGAGTAGGCAAAGTTAATGATGAAGATCCACACGAATGCGACTGTCGCCCATCCTGCGCTCTTGTGCTCTCCAAATGTCCCCTCGTACGAGCCAATGAGACCCGCGCAGATGAAATGGCAGACCGCCATACCGATCGCACCGGCAAGCAGGATCTTCTTACGACCGATATTGTCGACCCAGAGAACGGCTGGGATCGTGAAGACAAACTCGAAGATACCCGCAACACCGGTAGCCAAGAGGGATGTCGTATTTCCTCCCAAATCAAGGCCTTCGAAGACTTGAGGCGCGTAGTAGTTAATGGCATTGATTCCGTTCCATTGTTGGAAAAGCATGATCAAGCACTAGATACGTCAGTACATAAGTTTGTGAAGTTGGGGGTAGGTCCTAGCATACCGCAACGGTGGTCCGCTTGAACAGCGACGGGTTTGTGATGAGCGAAAGGTAGTCGTGGAACCCAATCATGAAGTTACTCTTAAACGATCCATCCTGATATTGAGGGTACTTCTTCTTAGCAGTTTCCTCTTCAAACATCTTGAGCGACTTGATCTCCAAGTACTCGATGCGAACCAGAATGTCGTCGGTGGGGGCATCGCGAAGTCGGGCGAGAGTCTGCAGACATTCCTCGTCCCGTCCCTGGTTCATCAGATGACGAGGCGACTGAGGCATGAAAAAGACCATTCCCGCAGCGAGGATCAGGGCCGGAAGGACTTGAATGCAAACGGGGATCTCCCAGGCCGCAATGGACTGGCCATCACCCGTCCCGCCGATGTAGTTGGTGCCGTAGCCAATCTGTCATAGTTAGCTTTCGACTCCACAAGATATAGATAGTATAACATACCCAGAAGCTGACCATGATACCGAAGGTAATGGACAGCTGCTGCACGGCGACTAGAGAGCCACGAATTTCGGGGGGAGCCTAAATCGTCAACACTCGGGAACATGTACCGGAAAGGCGCTGCGACGTACCAGCTCTGCGTTATACAGAGGAACAATCATACTCAGATTACCCACTCCCAGACCGGTAACAAACCGACCGGCAAAAACATAGCCTGCGTTTTTCGTACAAGCCTGGACAATCACACCGACGCAGAAGATGACCACAGCGACAACGACAGTTTGACGACGACCCATGGCATCGGCGAGATAACCGTTCAATAGTGTACCGACCCACGCTCCCAATTCCAGAATGGATGTAAGCATACCCTGCTTGAGACCGGTTCGCGCTGCATATCCGTCGGTCTTTACTTGTTAGTGTTGGTGTGAGATGAGGTGAAGAGATGGCATACCGCTTTGATGAAGGAGTTCATGGTAAGAATTTCGGAGAACATTCCCTGGTTGTCTTTCAAGCCCGTTAGCCAGGTCTTGTTGTCAATAAGCCATAGCAAACCTACATCCATAGACGAAACCACCCAGCGACGCGAAAAGCGCAATCGCAAAGGTCTTCTTGCTGCTTAGGAGCCCACGCCATCCGACGCGATTGCCGGCGAGCTCAGCACGCTTGCCGGACACGGCCTCAGCGCCCGCACCCATACCCATATTGAAGGATGATATGGACAGTCACGGTACAAACCCTGCAGACGACCGAAGATATGAACAGAGAACAGTGTAATTCACAGGATATGTGAGTGACAGAAAGTAAGAGAAAGAAGACCAACGATCGTCATCTCGCGGGGAGCATGCGACATAAAAACAACCGGACCAGGACGCAACGCCTGTCATTCGTCCCGTATAGCTATAGCTGCAACATTATCCTTTCCTCGACTGCTGTTGTTTTTTGTTTAGGCTATTCCAATTTGAAACTAGATCAATGTCGCTACTGGCCGACATCGAGGTCATGCAATTTCACGAAGTGTGTCCCATAGCCCCATGATTGGGCATTCAATTTAGCCAGACTTCATCCATCGGTGCCAGGCTAGCTATGTCTGGTAAGGCGTGCTACAATCCTTTCACCCCAAGGATGCGATTCATCCCCGTGGGGCCATTTGGATGCCATGGAGGGGCTATGATTAGGCATGGTTTGTCATCGGCGCAGGTTCGGCATTGTGGAGGTCGGATTGGATTATATCCGCCGGTTGGATACAAGCTTCGTGGCGGGCGGCCTGGCAATGGTTACGCCCGGTGGTGCTTGGCAAGCGCTAGCCGGGTGACACGGTTGAATGATGACATCAAGTACGTAGGTTGGGACAGAAAGGATATCGCGAAATTGTATGAAAGCAGCCAGTGGCTTTTGCGGGGATGGAAGAGAAAGAGGGGAACCATGGTATGGGCGAAGGGGCACGACCACCACTGTCAATGGAAAAAGCGGAGGTAGAATATGGGGGAATGCACAAGACGGATCTGGACAGCAGAAGAGAGACCAGACCATTCTCTGACAGGCAATGATGATCAGATTTAGCCGGATTTCCCCTACAACCACCAAACTTGCAGCCATCAGGCCGGCACAACAGCCGGAAAGTCAGCCCATGGTTAGGACTGCTTTTTTCCTCACTGGCTGGTCATGAAAACACCCATCGAGCGTTAGGCTCAGTTCTTAGACCACTGCGATGATGTCTGATCACCGGTTTGCCACGAGTTGAGCTTCTGCGACACGTGGAATGTCACCTCGCTACTAGACTACAGCCATCCAGTGTCCAATGCTAAAAGCCCCTTGCGTCTTACACTCTGCGCTGGCGTATTCCGGCCACCCAACCGATCAATGCCTGATTCCGCTCGGTCGCACTTGCGGATTGTACTGCCGTGATTTCGCTTTGCAGTCTGCTGCTTGCTCGAGCCGGCATCCTTCGCGCGACAGATGGCTCGGGCCACCGTCGAGAGAATCGGGGTTGCCAGGATATGGGACCACCGACCTCCTGGTGCCAGCCTTTCCAGGTATTCAAGTCCGAAGCCAACAACTGGTCGTGCCGTCAGCCGGGCCCACTGGTGACTCACGCGACTTCCTTGACTTGGGGTAAAATTCAAGCAATCCCGATCCATGGGTTTTTCTGTGAGTTGGTGGTCAGATTGCGAGAGATGCATGCGATGCATGTTTAGATAGCGAAATAGTCGAGGTCACGGTGCCATGGGGAAAAAGGGGGTCAGCTCGGGGATCCCCACGGGGATGCCGGTGAGTGAACAGAGTTTAGGTAGCCTCGGTTACCCTCCGAGAAGGGACAAGCGAGTCCCGGCTGCGATCATTCGTTTCTGCCGTCTCCGCTGTTTTAGTGCATTTCATTCGCTCAATGCCATGCAAAGGAAGGTAAGACGGAGGAGTGTCGATGTTGGTCCGTTCATGTGAGAATGGTTGGCCTGATTTGGCTTGCGGCTCCCTCCACACTCTCTCATCACCATCAGTTTTGGCGTCATGCTTCTGGCACCATCTGCTAGCTTGCTTCTTCATTCAGAGACATTGGGTATTGATACCAGTCACTGGGCGCCCCACCAAAATTTATAGGTCAGGTTCGAGGCAATAAAATCTTCTAGGATTAGCATCCAGTACGCCTGAATAGTATGGTCTCGAAATCGATGCGAGTGCGCAAGAATATTGCATGAACAGACGAGTAGTACCTGTTCTTTGTGCTTCATCGACGAAGTCGCAACGTTTATGTCGCATCTTCTTTTATAGGGAATAACTGCTAGTCACCGCTGGGTTGTGAGGTTCTTCCCACTGCGGGTTTCCCTTCCCGGCCGATGCCCGCAGCACAACACAGTGAATAGCGAGTGTTTGCAAATGCTGTTACGACTAGCTAGCTAAACCCTAATCTCATGTACAAGATGATCTCTCCGTGTAAGTCATCTACAAAAGCGAAATGCATAGAATTTTTATTAGGGGGTGTATATCTTTGCTTGGGCACATCACTAGCGTACCAAATTCACCACACTACACCGTCCCAACAGCCCTAGTTCACATGCCACTGGCCCTGCCATTCCGCATTTACTTCGGACCTATTACAGCATGGAATTTATATGGTTCTACCAAGCTTACACTACACCAATCTCCAACCGCCTGTCCTCGGACTTAAGAAGGCAGGTGATTACAGCTCGACTTGCATGCAATGAACTTAGTCTGTGCACCATGTGACATCAAGCTCATTCCATCGGGGCTGTCTATAAATCCGGAACCAATGCAGTCTATGCTAGTACATTTTATGATATAGTTTGCGAGGCCGGCTTATGCCCGAAATTGGAGCGATCAGCGGCCCAAGCGCCTTACCAGCTGTGACAGGAAGCAACTGGCACCGGAAATTGTCTTAAGCGTATAATTCCACACTAAGTTCTCCGACAACTCTCTTACTGCTACATTGCGACGGTTTTCAACTAATAATTTTCAACTGTTATCAACTGTCTCACTAGATCAGCATTGAGCACAGGACACATATTGGAGAAAAAAATGGGATCATTTTTGGAAGGATACAGCCTAAGCCAACAAGAGTATACAACTTCCAAGTATATTACTGCTTCTCAATATATCCCTTTAGGCAATCATCCTTTTTATACATCATCCACGCGCTAATTTTACATCGTGTGTCTGTGCCACGGGAAGGAACAGTGACACAACAAGAAGCTAGAGTGATCCTGCTATCTCCGCGGCAAGTCATCATCGAAGTAAAATATTCGAGGCCAAGCAACTGCCCATGGGTTCTGAACGGAGAACAAACTAGGTGTTTGGGAGCTTTCATACGTCGATCTCCTGATTGTCTGGACCACATTGGCGACGCAAACCAGGTTACTGGCAGTGGACTGGCGTGATAACGGCAGTGATTCCGGCCATTAGATGCATCATGTACTTTGATGTCTTCAGAAGTCCATTCAAGCGCATTGCGAATGTTGCCACAGCTTCATGGGCGCCTGAAGGTAGGATGGACCGAACGAAGCTGGTGGACTTGTTGTATGGTAGTTATTCTCTAGGGAACCACTGTCTGAAGAGATATAAGAGACCGGTATCTGAAGAAGGACCAATTCCTTCGCAACATGTTATGGTAAGTCACCTGGAGATGTGAAATTTTTCATGTGCTGATGTATTACACAGCAGCAATTCTTCAAGGTTCTGACCGCTAGTGGCAAGGCGTCAAAGACTAGACATCACGCCCTAGCCATACGCAATTCCCGAAGAAGGCGACAGATAGCATACAACCCATTTGTGATGCTAGCTTTCGCAATATACGGGTCATAAACACCCTTTGAGCTGCATTGATTGCTATGCAATTACCTGTATGAAATAGTGGTGTTCTACCTCATTGGCATAAAGTCAAGCTTTCTGTGAGCGCCGATCCGGCACACATGGTCAACCGTATCGACAGGGATGTTGATAGCTGGGAATGCCAACTAACAACGGAAACACCAGCTCAACCCCAGCAAATGCAAGCCAATTGCATCCAAGCTATAAGCGCCCTCGAGTCAACAAAATTCCCAACAGCGAGTGCCGCGATATTGCAAAGTTATCATCCGCTTTCCCACCATGAGAAAACCTCTACTTCTGAGAGACAGAAGCCATCCAGGCAGGATCTAGAAACCTTCACTCGACATGCCAAAATACGCCATCCTAGGCTCATCCGGTAACTGCGGCACCGCGCTCCTCGAGATCCTCATCAAGCGACCAGACGCACACATCAACGCATACTGCCGCGACAAAGCCAAACTCTTACGTCTTATGCCCGAGGTCGTTGAGAATGAAGACAAGATAAGCATATTCGAGGGCAGCATTCACGATGAAAAGCTTCTGGGTGCTTGTATGTACGACTGCCGCGCCGTTTTCCTTGTCGTTTCCACAAACGACAATATTCCAGGCTGTCGAATGGGACAGGATACGGCCACGACAGTCATTCAGGCCCTACAATCCCTGAATCAAGCACCAAAAATTGTATTACTCTCCTCTGCTACATTGGATGAGCAGCTATCGCGGCATGTCCCGGTCCTACTTAAGAAAGTTCTACTTCGCTCCGCCTCATTCGTGTATGACGACTTGGTTCGAACGGAACATATCCTGCGCGAGGAAGCAGCATGGCTGACTACTATCTTTGTCAAGCCTGGCGCACTATCGGTGGATGTGCAGCGCGGTCATGCGCTAAGTTTCACCGGGGAGAATGGCCCGCTGTCGTATTTGGATCTGGCGGCTGGGATAGTTGAGGCGGTGGATGATCCGGATGGGCGTTATGATATGCGCAATGTTAGTGTTGTGAACACGAATGGGAAGGCGAAGTTTCCGTGGGGTACACCTATGTGTATCCTGATGGGGTTGCTGAGGCATTACATTCCGTTTTTGCATCCGTATTTGCCGTCTACAGGGCCTGCTTGACCTCATGGCCTGTACTAGGATTTAGTTTTGGGAATATTTAGTATGGACTGCCAGAAATCGAGCGAACGCTAGTTTATGAAAGGCACTGTGTCATCATATGTTTCGGGGTATGCCGCAAAAGAGTCCAGATCCAGCGCATAATTCTGGATATTTGCATAGTGAACATTGAACAGCTCGGAAACATATGTATACCAAGTAATACTGCTTATATCTTCTCTCTAAATCCGTAGAACAACCAACCCCGAACTCCGAGCTAAACAAATAGGAAACGTAGCATTCAATATCCAGTTGAGCCATCCTATCATTGGTGAGTGGGTTTCGTGTATGGAAACGCGGGGACGAATAGACGTGCAAGAAAGTGGACACTGGCCAAGTACTTAGAGAAGCTAACCTGTCTTCGATACCCTAGTATGCGCGAAGAGTGGAACAGGATTTCGCTTTATTGTCGTACCACGTTTCACCACCATGATGGCCGTCGAGCCCTAGAGCCGATGGAGTTTGAATACAACAGGAATAATGCTGCGCAGCATGCTGCTTATCCTCCAAGGATCCGCTCTGTCCTAGGCCGTGCTCATCTCGCCTTGATGTTCTTTAATCAGTGCAAGCGTCTCGACATCCCTATCACCTGGAATGTCCCTATTGTTGCTTACGATGAAGAGGCTGAGATCGCAACAGCCATCTCCATAGATGGTCGGCGTTTCCTTGGTGATATCGTTATTGCTGCAGATGGTATTGGCTCCAAGTCACACGGTGCCGTCTTAGGCCATCCTGTGCGGGCAATAGGCACGGGGTATACATAACCCCGAAAGGTACGCGACAGAGAATTACACCGAAGCGTGAATACATGTCAGCATGTGCGTGCCTTTATATACACTTCCTAGCGAGGCATCGAGATCTACATACAACAAAATTCAGGTCACGGATTCTAGATCAATATCCTACTGGCTTCTGCCTTTCCAATCCGGGATACTGCTATTTAGACCACCAATATGTAACCAAAGGGATGAGTATAAGGCCATGATACTGAACGTGGCTATTAGTGAATCCTTTTCGTCTGAGACTAAGTACAGTGGTTTCAATCAAGGGGTTGCTATTATGATCGTTTTCTAGATACACTTTACATCCATTAGGACGTGTGGAACGGTTGCGATTAGGCATCCTTCTCGCGACTTCCTGAAGCATGCGATGCACTGACTTGCCTTGCTAGCCCTGCTGTATCTTGCTCACTATGTCTTACAGATATTGTGGCAAAACAACTGCAAGAAATGTACTCAGTCTCCGTATCAACATCCATTGGGCTATCACCCAGTGCTGAGCTAGTCGAGAGCTCAGTATCATCCGACTGTGTCTGACCCTGAGCCACTAGCTGATTAGAAGAAACGGAGCTGGCCGATGCATCGCCATGGCCACTGTCCATATCAGAAGCGGCCATGATCCTGCGTTGCTGTATGAATTCATACACGCACATGAGGTCGTAGAGTGTATACTCTTGCCCTTCGGGAAAATATGGGTTCGTACCCTGCTCCATGTTAGCAACCCCACGCTGACGATCATGTTAACCTTACATTGTCTGATCTGACTAGCATATACTCAGGGGGCAAATCACTCTCAGCTAGTCCTAGACTTGCAAGCATCGCCAATATCCGCCGGTACATGTCGTCTCCTTCTGATTGGTTTTCCATTGTGCTGGATGAGATAATGCTGATGTACGTATGAGTGGGACATGTGCCGCAATCACGTAGAAAGCACCCTGCATCCTGCATAGTTGACCATGATATATTTATAGGAATATACTCGTAATAATAATTGAGGAGGACCTTGATGCACATCTCGTTCAGGGGCGTCCTATGTGACTCTGCCCTTGGGCCCCTTTGTTCTATGTTGAGAGTACTATGAAACGGTGATTTCCGAATATGCAATGATTTGGCTCGGTTTGGCCCCAATGAGGAGCGCCACAACCCTTGAACGACTTGGCAGACGAGGAACTTATATCCTGTATGCTGGGATTCTACGCACTGAGAGGAGAGGCGCTGGGAGGTTGGATGCCGGTATTTTGCGTGCCGGCCGCTGTGCTACATGACGTGGAATTGATTATACATTCGGCCTCTCCCTCTAGAACTAGAATACACAGTAAAACGTTGAGTTGTTATAACTATTGGACAAATCAGGGCCTATTACAACCACTTAATAAGTATATTGTAAGCGTTGCTATATTGGCATTGACGAAAGTGAACTGACTCTTTCCTGAGGCGGTATCTTCTGTAAAGCAACCTTTGAAGACGTTGCTTCCGGATATTGTCACACACACAAACGGCATTATGTCTTGCTCTACCCACACTTACGATGCATCTAATACGCATCATGCGGTGTATGATCAGCTTTGTACTACTGTGAAACATTCATGCCGTTCCAGGCCTATTAAACGTCCGTTACTCACCAGATGACACATCTACTGCCGCTTGTACTGCAACCGTTGGTTTCTTCATCCCCGGATCATAACGTTCTGGGCAGATCATGTGCAAAATCAATAGCATTTTCGAGCTACAAAGCAAGTTTTCTGGACATAAAATCCCTCAAAACCTATTACCTATCCGTATACCCGACGCAGGGACAGCTCAGGCCTAGCGCCTCACCCTCACAGACGCATTCCCGGCAGCAGAACTCCCCATAACACTACCAACAAACACATTGAAATTATAATACTTGCTCCGATCGGCCACGTCCAGACCACCCTTTCCACTCAGAATAACCTGTCCATTCCGACTAACCTGGAACGTCTGGGCGCCTATTCCCATTGTCACATTCGTTGTCACAATGCCAGCGGGCACATCAACCTTGACAGGACCGTTCGACCCGCTTGTCACTGTCAATGTAGCAGGGCTATCCAACATCGTCGCCACAAAAATACTATCACTAAGCATCTGGAATCCATTTGGCGCAGGCATATTGTCCTCGGGGCAGTTCACCCCCTTTGGCGTGGGCCGATACCAGTACACCAGCCCTTCCTGAGTGATAGTGGGCTTGCTATCTCCAGCTTTGTATGCGGCGATGTAAGGCTTGTAGAGGTCGCGCCAGGCGTCGTGAGGCATGCCCTTGGCCCATTTGGAAGAGCCATCATCGCTGTGGTTGGCGCTGTAGGGGCCAATATAGTGGGATTCGCCGTAGTCTGGGATGATGTTATCCTCTTGATTATCATCGGAACAAAATGGGCAATATACTTACCGTTCCACGAAATTATTTCGACAAGACTTGGTTTCATGGTCAGCATCTGCTCCCAACGCAGGGTGGGCAGGTTCTCGCATATGAACACCCAGTTCTTGCTGTTGAAGTGCGTAGCAAACCATGGTGAAACCGCTAGCAGACCTTAGCAAGACACAGTGTATTTTGTTGAGGAGCGACTCACGCGCCATATATGTTGTGCCTGCGAGATCCTTGATGAACCGGTCATCCCAGATTGTTGTCATTGGCCCTTTTATGATGCTGTTGCCCCCGTCTGTTGGCCAGGCGTACCATGAAAAGGCTCCATCGGCGCCCCGTTGGGCATTGCTGGACGAAGCAGCGGGATCCTGGAGGTTAGGCACGGCATGGATAGGATGAGAGGTAGCTTGCTTGACGGGGCCCCAGTTGAAGCTGTCCCCGACAAATGTGCTCACGACTGCGCCGCCGCGGTATTGCATCTGCGCTGGGTGGCTCGCGTATTGTTGCATGTAAGCGGTGATCTTGGCGGTGTCGCCGTTGCTCCAGTAGGCAAAGTCGAACGAGATGAACACTTTGAAGTTGACTTGCTGAGCGGCTTGGTATGCTAGCGCGAGCTGCGTCGGTGTGTACTTGTCAATGCTGGCGCAATTGAGCGCAAATGCATCGATCCCGATGGCTTGCGCGGCTTTCATGTCGGCGATCCAGTCTTCCATTTGATAGTTCTCGACGATGCCGACCTATCATGGTTAGCATTGGTTATCCCGAAAGCTCAGTATGGTGACTGCCCACGGACCATGAAATGGGCGAAGACATATGTGGGCTCAGCCTGGGGCTCGGTGAGTCCGACATCAAGAGCCGGGGCTCCCAAGACCGGATTAAGAATGCTCGCCGCAATGGCAGCAAGAACGACTAGAGATTTCGCCAGCATCATTGATGAGAATTAGCATATAAATTCCTATCGATACGGTGTGAATGTAGCATCTCAACAAATCCGAGATAGTGCCTGTGATGCCGATTTTATAGACCGGATTTCCTCCCAAATCACCCGGCGCCTGTTACCATTCACCAATCTCTAGGCATCCTACCCCGTGCCTGATGATTCATACCCCAGACGGAGAATAAATCCCATTGTAGGCTTCTTCCGAGCGCAACTCTGCAACAGTAACTTCCCGCTCGGAAAATAATTAAGGTTGTGTTATGCATCGAGCGTTGTGTTACCTGCAGTGGCAAGTAACTGCCCGAAGCCTCTGTGTGATTTCTCCTCTGGGGTTAGTATAGGTAGTACACCGGGTGCATCCATCCTAACCCAGGTTGCACTCGGGAATTTGCGTCTACTTAGGGTTGCTTCGGGGGGCTCCTGACCTGATCACATTCAGTGGTTTCCAACGGTTATTGCCGTTGGGTTTGGTCAACTTCTACAATGTGTTGGGATATGATGGGGAGGGCTATTGGGTAAGAAGGTGACATATTATAGACCGAGGAGGAGCCGTCAATTCTTAGATACTCTCCCAGGCAGTATCAAGTAGGACCTAGTTTATATAGACCAAGATTGTAGTACAATTATTAACCCTGTTACAGTGAATGTTAATACATTGTGGCCTAAGGAGCTTTCGACATACTCTGTACATCCGCCCTGGGTGTCAGTAGTCTCCTCTTTGACCCCGATACCCCGGAGATTATCTTCTTCAATCGAGTGAAAGTTTGATAACAATTACCTGGTAAGTATAATCTTGGTAAATAGTCGAGAATGAGAATGAAGGACCTCAAAATATAGGATGTTGCGTTCCATTGACCTCAATCATTGCGGTGTATTCGAACCATTGGATGTTTGGGACTCAACAATTATGATATAGCTGTGATGTTTTTATTAGTCTAATGTACCTAGTTAGAAAACTGTAGTATAAAGACAAGAAAAGAGCCTTTTCTGAGGATAGAACAATGTATACTCGTACTGTGTAGCAATAGATGAAATAGTGCGTGGGGTTCAGCGAATGCGCGAATGGGCAATTTGGGGCAATTTGAGTGGTGGGGTCTGATCACGTGATCCAGTACATTCGCCAATTCCTGAGGATTCTAGTGTCAAAGAATGATTGCCAAGACCTCCGGTAATGATTCACAAGTACGATGATTAACTCCGGCTGGCACCGATAAACTGAGGCGCAGAAAAGAGGTGGTGTAAGGTACAGTAGTATAGGTGCCTGATGAGGAAGGCCTGCCTGCGGCCGGAACAAGGTCGGCCCGTAGTCCGAGCTCCTACCGGGAAACTCCCAGCCTCCCCCCTTGGCACCTTCCCTCTGGCCTCTCTGGCCAATTCATATCTCGCGTTCTCCTCCCACCACCATCCCCACCATCACCATCATCATCGCCAGCATCGCCAGCATCGTCAGGATCGTCATCCTTCCCATCGATCCCATCATCACCGTCCTTCTGTAGTAAAGGAAGTACGTGTTTCTTGCTGTCCTCGCCGCCAGTCCTGCCATTCCTGTGTTTTCATAGGACTCTCCGATCTCACTTTGTGACTTCGGATTGGGCATGTGCTCGTGACCAGGCCGCAAGAGCATGTACCAGTTTACTACTATCGTTGCCTCCATCATCTTTCATCCTCATTTGTTGCGAGTCAGGGCTGCTCACCTTCGCTCCGAAGCCCGGGTGGGAGGGTAACTCGATTCTTCGAGGGTATATCGAACAGCTAATGTTGTAGCACAATGACTACTACTTCGCAAACCCCGACCGCGGTCTTGAAAAAGGCGGTCCTTGTTCATGCGCCCGATCTCGATGTTTCCTGCCGTGCCCGCCTTCGTATTAATCATGATCAAGCTGCTAACCAAGGATGCATCTTTCTTTCGATCACTGCAGATCTGGCTAACCTGAGCGGCAAATCACAGGTACTGACTCTGAATATCCCTCCGGAAAGTGTCGAACAATGTGCTCTAGCTCGACAAAGCAATAGTGAACTCTGTTCCTCTCACTTCGTTTCCATGCTCCCGGCGCCTGTTACCAATGTTTCGGCTGTCTCTACACTGAGTCTGAGCCTGTGTGCGACCGGCATTGTTCTTTGTCCATCTGAACTGGATTATATAAGCCCAGCAAGACCAGGCGATCTTGATATCCATTCATTCGCCAAAATCTGTCAATCCAAATTCCTCTACCTACACTTCTCCAGACGACAATTTGTGAATAAAGAACTTGATAAGCTGGAAATCTTCTCCCGTGCCCTACGCACAAAGAGTCTTAAACGAGTGTGTTTTGACCACTCTCGTCATGGCGTGGTCCAGAAAGATTGGCGTGTCTTCAATTTATCGCCCAATCCACCCCCATATCGTCAAGAGCTCCTGTCCGAGCAGTTGGAGCAGGTTGATCCACCCCTATACTGTGAGGAGTCCGTGTCAGAGCAGGTAGCTAGAAAACGGCAGAGAGGTAATTTCACATCCTACCATATCAGGTGCTCTGTCGTTCAGTAGTTTAATTATAGTATCTAGACCCATGGTCAGTGTCATCTCATGATGAAAGCCGAAAGAGAGTACTCCTTCAAGCCCCTCCACCGATAGGCTCTCCAACCGAAGTAAATACGCCGAGTACTCGCTCCCCTTCACCATCCTCCATTCGCCCAACCATCTTTCAGCGTGCTTCCTCACCTGGCGACGCAATGTGTAAAGAACTTGCGCGTCTAGAGCATGAGCTCCGTGGTGTTTCTGATGACCTGGTTTGCGAACTATTAATTCGATCCGGACGAGGACATTTGCTGGCCACACCAAAGAACGTAGACCGTGACGTACCATGCGAGGTTCAGAAAGTCGGCTCTACCGAAATCGAGATGGTTGAACAACGCCTCAAACGATATGTCGATGAAATGATCGAGCGCCGCCTTAAATCAGGCATACTGGACGAAGTTATCGATAGTGCTGCAAGCGAGTGTCGCGATCAGATCTATGATGAATGCAAAACCAACCAAGCCGAATTTCGCGAACAAGTCGACGATGGTAACTCCGAGGTACGCAACACAACGATGGAATGTCTGAAGGAAATAAACGAACAAGCACAAAGGCACATGCATGAAATAGAAGAGCAAGCGCAACAGTGCATGAAAAATATCGAGGATCAGGGAATCGAAGTTGAGATGTCTGCGAAGAGGAATATTGCAGGGCTCAAGCGCTGGTTCAGTACCCCTGCTCAGTCCTTACCTGAAACCATGTTAAACCCTAGCCATGAGATAGATACTACTGCCAGGCGCAGTTCCATTTAGACTCAGTATTAGGCTCATAATCTATCATTATCTTCTGGCCATCACTTGGTCATTGGTCCACATGAAGGGGGGGTAAGCAGTAATGTCTAGCTATAGTTATCCTAGTCCAAGGGCCAAGCATAGCTGGGAGGCGAATGATAATGCCTTTAATCTCTCAACAGTAGTTAGGTGAATAGATCAGCCCATTGACTCACCGCCACTCATTTTCGAATGAAAAGGTCTCAAGCCTAGAAAAGAAAGTCCAGTACCTACTTAATCATAAACCACACTCGCCGTGAGCCCTCGGCCGGTTAGACGATCCTGCCCTACAGGTCCTCCGGCGTAGCGTGGCCGGCCATCCTGCGTGCAAACGTTCTGTGGTCCGAAAGTGAGTCGTGGGGGACGCCCACCGGCCCACCGCGTCCTGGCGACCGGTCTCGCGCGGCCAACTGGTCAACGCTTACTACGAGGGGATCACACATACATGCAGTCGCTGAACGAAAGACTATTGACCTGTCAATTGACTACTTCCACCCGTTGCCAGATAGCTACGCCATGTTCTACAACCGATACAACTCAAACACGCATTCTACCATTGCTATCAGTATCCATTATGGATAGTTACCACAATTTTGGCTTTGCAACTCTATAGGTCAATGAGTGAATATATTTTGGTACATATACTATTACTCTATCGAGACCAACAAGTTGAAAATGGAAGTTGCCTTCCTCTGCTTGAATTTGTGAAAATTAGCCTCTTTAGCTGCTATAGTCTGTATTGTACCTGTCTTCTCTCACTGCACTTTACTAACCACATTATTTGCCATAATTACGAGAGAGGATCGAGACTCAGCTTAAGATAAGAATAGAAGCCCTCCCCAAATCCGGCAAATCATAAGTTCACACATGTGGGCATTGCGCGTACACTCACTCAAAAATAAATGCCGTTTCTCTGTCGATCATGATGGAGAAAGCGATCTGTCCCGCGATGGTACGACATCTCTCCACGAGAAATTTTCTCGATCTCCCGTGCTTCGCAAGCTGAGGACGGGGAAGGAAGATCACTCCCGTCCACAGTTCTTCAAGTTTGCATTTCCATTCCCGTCTGGCCCTATAAATAGAGGGGAGCCGTGTAGACTGTATGGCATGATCGGTCTTCATTTACATATATTAGAGTGATTACTTGTCACTAATTTATGCATATTAAGCATTTCCACTCCCCTCGGATCCGAAAATCATCTCGAGTTTAATTACGGCATGGCCAAAGCTCATGGACCTTCGTTTAACAGAACAAATAATCCGATATTAGCTCGGCATCTTGACCACCAACCACCGACTATCTAGCTAATGCTCACCCACTGGTGGCAAAGGTTTTAATTATCATTTGAGACTACGGGCGTCCGAGTGGGAACAATTTAAGCTAGATTAGGCCAAGCTTCACGCCTTGGCAGGGGCAAGGACACGGCTTGAACCCTCGTTCATGAGACATATATTACGAAAGGCTCCCGGGTCATGAGTCGTAGAAGAAAGAAGAAAACTCAGTTCCAAGTTTATTACACACGGAGAATATATGGGCGGGAAAGACATCGACCCATCTACCGAGGAATAGATGTCATTGGGGGTAGGTACACCCGGCTATTTTTGTTCTGTGTACCAGACAACGGTCGGAGTAGGATACAACCGTTGTCGGAGGTTGATAGATACGCATTGATAAGGTTTCGGTGCAGGATCTCTGTTTAGATGTTGAGCCGGTTCCTCTGCAGATTTAGGTAGTGGGTCTTCGGGAGACGTTGGCCAGTTAGATAGTATAACGGTTTAGAGTCGCAGTGGTGTGGCAGTAGCGTGATTAGGGTAGATTAACGGGAGCATATTGAATCCTCCAAAGTCTCACTGAGTCAGTGTCTGGCCAATCTCGCGGTTGTGGTGTATCCACCGGGCTGAGTTCTATTTCTTGGCGGTTGTGTCTCGACTGTCAAATGATTTTCCCCTGAGCTTGAATAGTGGGATTAGAGTAGTAAGGTCGGCACTAGATGCTCGGAGGCCCCACTACGAAACCGGTACACTTGATCGGGGAGTCCGACAGATCCGAAGCAGTGGAGGAGAACCATGGAAGTTGAAATTGATGGGGGAAAAGTAAAGGACATTCATCATAAGGATCGGACCGGTTGTAGGTACTGAACGAAAAACAAAAGAAAAAATTGCCACCCAAATAAATTACCCGCGCATTTAGACATTCTCGTTGACACTCACGTGGGTGACAACTTGAATGCCTGGATACATGATGCGCTCCTGCGAGTCATTAGTAGTCGTTTCCACTTCCGCCTGGCTGTGTCCTGTCACTGGTTTCAGCTTGATGCTATTATGCGCATTGTACGTCCGGCGAGTAGAACTGCCGTACATCTTTGACGGGCCATTCGAGTAGTCATTGCTGGAGAAACCGAGAAGACGGTGGAGCCCTGGAAAGCAGGTACTAAGAAGTGACTTGAAAGAGGGAATGCATGCAATGAAGAGGGCGACGGCGACTTCCACGCATGACCAGTTCATAGCATTCACTAATGACCCTGTAGGCATAGAAGGTCAGTAATTTCCAAACATGTAATGAACAGGGAAATTGTGACCTACAGGTATGGTCAACAGAAAAAGGATTCAGATATGAGACCCGGATAATACTGGTGACACACACACTAAGCATCCGAGAGAATTAGTGTTGTCCACCGGTTGAGTGTAGAGGAAGGGTTCGCCTACAGAAGACCCAGACTGAACATGACCACCAAGCCCGCTCGCTTGCCCACCGTCATCTTCAACCGCACCAGCTTAGGCATCGGCATCAGAAACAAAGCCAGGTCACTGGCGAGCTTGATCCCAAAGTTTGCATAATAAAAGGCCGTCATGTTCACACAGTGTCCCTCGACGTAGCCGGTAGCGTCCCACGCTTTGTGAACGGGCGTGCACTGAAAGATAACAACAAGGGCTTCTGAGATTGTTTCACCAACGATGATGACCAGCACACACCAACAACCAATCCGAAACCACTTCCCCGGGAAGATCGAAAGGTAAAGGACACAAAACGAGATTTTGATAAAGCCGAGAGCGAGAACGTAGGCGAGCATGGTCACGAAATTGAGCTGTAATCAATGTACAGTCAGTATACATTTTCGTGGTAGTCGTTGTGTCAGAGATGGTCTATACCCTCAGGAACATGCCCCGGTCGCTCATGCCTATGATACCAATATGCCTACCAAATCCATATTTGGTCACTGGGTAAGTAGGCTGTTAGTATATTATGTCAGGTCTCCTGTCGCTCGGATAAGCACTCACTGAGCATGCAGGTAAAGCAAAGAACGAATGTAAAGACCTAGACAAGTCAGCAATGTTTCAGCAACGGCTAGCAGACAGACACTTAATACTGGAGAATTGGCAAACATACCCAACTGGTGATGCAGAGCACATCGTCGAAATTGATGCCCGTGAGGTGTCGAATACGGACGAAAATTCGAACCAACAGACCGAATGTCGCAAAGACGAGGAGGATCACATTACAGGCAATAATCTCAGGAATCCGAGTCTGTGCCAGGTAGGCTATCCGCTCAGGAGAAAGATCTCTCTCCCGGATTCCTTCCATGGGGAAGACCTGCTAGCCGTGGAAAGGAAGGGACCAAAGAGTGAAGTCCAACAAAGAAGGGGATGGTCACATTTGCGAGAAAGATTGAGCGCATGCAGGGAGAGAAGTCATGACGGCGATAATCGCATATATGCCCCTGTAGTCTGCAGGGCCCGGGCTTGTTTCATCCGCCAACCACGAGTGGGGAAACGGATTTTACGACGCGTGGAATCCCCCACCGGCAGATGGTGTCGCACGTTGGGCTTGGAAGCTTCAGGGCAGGAATTGGCGTTAGGCTGTGATTGATGGAATTGGCTATTCATCCAGACCGCGGTTCACCGGACGATTTCCACGCCCCACTCGCTGATCCACTTGTTAATAATTTTACAATTTTTCCACGAACTTATCCTTCATCGCCAGAAGAGTTTAAGTCTCCATCGCTGGCAGGATGGGTGTTGGCTAGAAGCTAAGCTTTGTAGGGGTTCTTCTAGAAAGACCATCGCCAGGAGCAACTACCACATACGATCGATCAAGATGTTCAGATCTATGGAGGAGTCCGTCTGCCCTATGCACATTGTTTCTGCGGAATCTTTCCGGGTTCTTCAATGAAGGAATCTGGCCTTTGGTTCCAATGAAGAGTTGCCTGCATAAGTAGGCCTTAGAGTCGCTGGTTGTTGCGGTCGCAGTTACTATTCCACAGTATGATCACTTGGGGCATATCAGATACACGACCTGTTCATTCCGAAAAGATCTTTCAGTGTAACACGAGCAACATCAGGTGGTATAAAGACCTGAAGCAAAACAAAAGTTAGACAGAATAGGAGGATGCTGATTAAACTCGGCATGTAAAAGGAAGGAGGTCGAGAGATGCCGGGCAGCCGACTGAAGAAGTCACTTTTCGCACTACGGGTATTGAAACCCACTAGGCAAGGATCTACAATCGACACTTGTGATACGCTCTCAGATGGCATTTCTCCTAGCAAGATGGGGATAGCAGGTAGACATACCCACATGCGCACTGAAACTCTAGTATGTTTTACCGGCAATTGACCATGTCGCATTTGGGGCTCATGGAGACGGCTTAAACTGTCGTGCTGTTTTGTCTCTTTGCAAGATATGCTCTATGGCATGTTGGCTTGTCTGAGGCATGGAGTTCAGTGCACGGATTGGGGCAGCCTCCCAGCCTCCCCGTCACCAGTTAGCGAATTGTCATTGGTATGGACAGTTCCAGCCAGCCTTTTCTATCTTCACACATCATTCTCCTTTGTCCAGCTACATGGTTAACCCATCCGATCATTTATTATGATCTGGCTAGCATCTATATACGCTTCGAAGTCAGTATCCACATCGGAAAGCTCTTCATGCTATTTCTATAAATATCAATGATATCGCCTACCTTGATTAGGTTTCCCACCTGTCATGTATGTTTAGATTCAATTCTACAAACGCATTATACTCATTTTACTATCTTTGAGTCAGCAGTCAACTTTCCGAACATTCCGTAATGTCATTGTAATGGAATGCTTGCTGTTGGTCTCAATGTCGTTGACGTCATTCCACTACCCGTTGTGATGAATGAGCCAATGTTCACAGTGTATTTTCTTTGTTGTTCATTGTTACTTGTTATATTCATTGAGTCTTTATATACATGTGAATATGAAGATATCAGGGTGTCACATAGACCTTCCGACAGACGTCTCAAGGTATATATAGGCATACTAGTACGGCCTCCAGCTCTCGAAGAAACTTGAGACCTGCGGCAATCAAATACTTAGCGATCCTTTGCGATTCTATAACGTCAGAAAGCAGACAGATCATTTCTTAACTTTCTCATCAAGGCTTACAATTTCGCAATGGCTCTCCCAGGAAAATCACCCCTTAACCTGGTCCTTGGAGCGGGAAATGTTAGTTTCCTTACCTCGATTAAATCTCTTTTCTTATGTATCCCCATACTGACCTGCACCGTCTAGGTTGGAGACAAGTCTGTCGACCCCACTGCACGCTTCGATACTCCCGACGAAGTGAATGCCTATTTCAGCGCCTTTGCTGCCCGTGGATATGATCAAATTGATACCGCACGCCTCTACTCACCCATGGCACCTGGTAGCTCAGAGCCAAGAATCGGTGCCATCAACGTTGGTAATAAGTATATCCTTGATACCAAAGTCAAGTCCGGCCAACCAAGATGCCATACGAAAGAGAAGGTTCTTGAGGAGATTGATCTATCTCTCGAGGCTCTGAAAATCAAACAGATCAACACTGAATATCTTCACCTACCGGATCGCGAGACTCCGTTCGAGGAAGCGTGTGAAGCTATGGACCAAGCGCATAGGGAGGGCAAGATCAAACATTGGGGCCTCTCTAACTACACCGCAGAGGAAGTCCAGCGGATTGTCGACATCTGTGAAGAACGCCGCTTTGTGAAACCTAGTGTATACCAAGGCCACTATAACCCTATTGTCCGAAGCGGAGAAAAGTGTCTCTTCCCACTTTTGCATAAGCATAGAATCGCGTTTTATGCTTATAGCCCTGCCGCAGCTGGCTTTTTCGCCGGCAACCATAAGAAGCTCAAGGCGGGTGGACGTTTTGACCCATCAGTAAGTGCAACATTTGGCACCCGAAGTAAATGCGGGCTAACTGATTCAAGCATATGATTGGCGCAATGTACTCCGGGAATTACCTGAAACCTGCCATTATGGAAGCAACGGATAAGACTCTTGAAGTTGCGGCTCGCCATGGCATTGGTGGCCATGCCGCTGCCCTTCGCTGGAGTGCGTGGCACGGTATTCTTCGCAAAGAGTATGGAGATTCCATCATCATTGGTTCCTCCAGTATCGCCCAGTTGGAATCGAATATCGACACGATTGAGGCGGGTCCGCTGCCTGAGGATGTTGTAGCGGCCTTAGAGGCACTTTACCATGAGATTGGTGATGAGGTGCCTTACCATTTATAGCTCGCTAGAGGGATAGTTCATTGCGCGGAAAAAAAAAAAAAAAAAAAAAAAAAAAAAAAAAAAAAAAAAAAAACAGTAGTTACCAGTAAAACCCATGGTAAGATCCCGTACAATCTGGCGACCTGGCAACCTGTACACCCTAAGTTCATCCATGCCAATATGGGCGTACAGTGATTTTCCAAATTGGTATTAATTAACATATTATCTAAAATATTTCATTTAAATCCATCGATCGTAAGGTTTGCATCAGCTCTTCTAGGTCCTTGAATACTATAAGATCCGCTTTGTATTGTCTAAGAATAGGAAACCACCAGCAAGCAATACGCAATAATTCGTTGTCTAAATAGCCAAGTCTTTAGCCTGCTTCGTTGACCACGAAAATAGCAAACCTTCGTATTTAAGATTGTGATTGACTAGTTGGCGGAATGTGGTGAGGCCGGCATGGCTATCACATTACTCTTGGGGAAGTATTTTCCACCCTAAAGAACCCTGTCGGGTGTCATTGCGATCGACAAGCCATCCGTGTAAGGGCTCAGCTGGCCAGGCCCGATAAGGTGTAGTAGTTACCCTATTACCTTAGCGAGTGCTGATTTAAGAGTTCAGAGGCTGTTTTAGTGCGTCCCTTCCGCAAGCTAAAGTGACACAGCTGCTCTCCATCCGTCTTCCATCGGCTTCTTCCATCATAGCGTATCTCCGCCAAATCCTCACGATTGAGCACGATCAGCCTTTGGCCCCCAAAACACACGGACTCGAGCAATGGTTTTCTTGATCCCTTATCCTCGCGTTCGTCAGCCTCAAATCTCGATGGCATTTCCGCCCGAGAAATCCAGCAGAAACCAATTCTGGGTATCATAATCCTTGGGCGACCGAAGGAGGGGCACATCTGACCTTAAACCAACAACCGGCATACGCTCCGGTTCGTCCATACTCATCATGTCTTCACAAGTCTGTCATGGCATGCACAACGGGGTAAATCAGAATATCCAGGCCGACCTGCCGTGTGGTGTCACCAACTCCAGCCATTCCTATGTTACCTGCTGCGTCAATGGCGACTACTGCCTCAGCAATTCCATCTGCGTGAACACGAACGACAAGGACGGAGATCATTATTATGCGGCCGACTGCACAGACGAGACCCTGACAGATCCCGCCTGCGGGACACGATGTGATGAGACTCAGTTGAGCCTCTCTTGACGAAGGAATGTGATCGCTAACACGAGTATATCTTCATTTTCGCAGGAGGCAGAAATAGCGCCGAGATCGTATACACCTCCGATGGCTACTGGGCCTGCTGCGAAAATTCATACGGGACGGACGGTAAACTGCTCGAACCCTTCCGATGAAATCTTCCCCGGCGTCGCGCCCTCAAAACTCGCTACCATTCAATATCTGCCGTCCACGGCGTCCGGCACGCCAACTTATGCGGTCGCATCTTCTAACTCTACCTCCGATTTCCCAAACGCTAATACCACGACAACCTCCTCCTCTTCCTCTACCGATTCATCCAGCAGTGAATCTTCCGGTATCGGTGCCGGCGCGGCAGCCGGAATCGGTGTGGGCGCTGCCGCAGGATACGTCATAGTCGCAGCCATACTAGCACTTCTGTACTTCCGCCGGCGGAAAGCGCAGAATAATGTCCTTCCCCAAAAAGCCGGGGGATATAATGGGTTGGGAGATGGTTCGTGGGCGCAGACCTCAACCCGTGGCTCATCCCGTACATGAGCTAGAACGGACCGGCCCGTATCCCGAAATGGATGGGCAGCCCAAGGTTATGTAACCGCGCATGATTATGAGGACGAACATCGATGGGAATATTTCCCCTAATAGATCCATGAATGGGTTGGATGATTTGGCATTGGTCCTTAAATATGTGAACCGCATTGACCCCACGAAAGCACAATTATTGTAATGATTGATTATCCAGCTGGTGTTTCGTTTGACTCGCGCCACGCGGTAGGTTGGGTTGGGTCACATTAATACCTTTACGGCTATGATTTTGTGTTAGCTATTGTACATAATGATTTCAATATCGTTAGACCTTCAAGTGAAATCTCTCGTACCCTTCATTATAGGAATCTCGCCAGACACTACCTGGTGCCTCTTTGGCATACTCGGTCGAGCGCACTGGTTCACTCAAATAATCAAGGTGGTGCGTTGGCTACACATTATGTGGTACAATAAGACCATGAGGAATGGATTCTGATTTACGGTCACTCAAACTGAAAGACTGTGTTGTCTCTATAACAGTCAATAACATATACAATGTTGTGTTATGCTGCCTTCTCTTTACATGTACATAGCGGTCGATATACTGCAGTTTGCTTGACCAAAGAAAGATAGAATAAGAAAGAAGGATTACCTCTGACCCCCACAACATATTCATCCTTATGGAAACGGATCATACTGCTCCTTCCCCCAGCAAGCCCCCTGCACCTCCAACCCCGTAACATTCTGCTCCGGCCGCCCATCAGCCCCAAACCGCTTGATCACTCCGCCATTCTCCCCAAACGGCTCAAAAGCCGGCCACCCCATCCGCTCCAACCCGTTCTCCGGGTCCCTCATAAACGCCAACAGGTAATCCTGCATAGCCTCACTCGTCTTCTTCTCCAGCAACGTCCCATTTCCACGAACAATAGGATGCGTCCCGAAGTTCATCGTCAGGTCACTGGAGTGGTACGCGCCCAACCAATGCATCGGACTCACGTTACTGAAGTTCCCAGCGAACTGGTACCGATACGTTGTGCGATTCGCATTATACCGCACGATACTTGTGTTCGCGGACACGCAGAGCCAGCCTTCCAATGTGGCGGCGTTCACGCCAGGCTGCCATGGTCCCGCGGTGACGTTGTTTGTGGGAAACGTGTATAGCGCTGCGGCCTCGTTGGCGCAGTTGGACATGATGGCCGGGGTGTTGGCGATGAGGCCTTTCGCAGCGCGAGCGGGGTAGTCTGAGAAGACGACCTTTTCGTCTGCAATGGGGGTGAATGTTAATTTTGGTGTTGTGCCGTTGTCGGTGTACTGTCCGACGAAATTCTGGATGCGGTTGACGGAGACTTGGCGCATGCAGTCAAGTTCAGCGGCCGGGTTGGTGGGGAAGTCGCAGCCCATGTGTTTCGCGACGAAGGTAAAGTTCGTGTGGTCGTTGTCGTAGTTGTCGAGAGGCTTTAGGGCTGTGCCGGATTGGGAGATTGTGGCGCGTGCGATGAGGTTGTCGTGCCATGCGTAGGTGTGGAAGTCTGTGGAGATGGAGCCGGCGGATTGGCCCCAGAGGGTGATGGCTTCGGGATCCCCGCCGAAGTTGTGGATGTTTTCGTGCACCCATTCCAGAGCGGCCCGTTGGTCAAGGATTCCGAGGTTTTGGTTGTCCAGGCCGGCGGCGTTGGGGAAACCCATGATGTTGACGCGGTAGTTAGTGGTTACTACGATGTGGCTTTGGGTGCGAGAGACCCAGGATGGAGGCAGCTGGTAGGGGATGTTGATTCCGCCAGTTTTGAATGCTCCGCCGGTGAAGAAGACGATGACGGGGAGGTTGGTGGCGTTGGTAGGAGCCCAGATGGCGAGTTGCAGGCAGTCTTCGGAGCTGGCCTGGGCCATTAGGCCAGCGGTGGAGTTCTCGTTCCCGTCCCATATGTAAAATTCAGGGACGATGGAGCCGAAGACGCTGGGGTTACCGGAGACATATTGGGCGCAGGAGGGAGGGTAGTTGGTCGCGTAGTGAGTTTCATCGGAGTCGGCGAGAGGCGCGGGTGGAAGCCATCGTCGTGAGGCTACCGGGGGTTGCGCGTATGGGATAGATCGGAACTCCCGCACGGATGGAAAGTCTGGATTGAGAAGGCCTGTGAATTTGCCTGTTCTTGTGCGGACAGTCAAGTGGTCATCACTGGCGGCCGTTAGAGCCGGTAGAAGGAGTAGAAGGGTGGACAGGATCATGGTTAATGACGCATTGATGCGAATATTGGGGAGAGTGGTTGCTTGCCTTTATGTGTCCGGGGTCCCCACGTTTGTGAAGACCGATTCTCCAGCTTCTGAGCATTCTGTCTAAACCATAAATGCATACCGGCATCGGCATTGACCTCGGTAGAGATGCTTTAGAGAGTCAATTCTACGCGGGGGTGGGTCTGAATCCAGCAGCGACATGTTATTCGCCTTCACGGGACTCGGCTGCGTACGCATCCATGATTGGGACTGCTTGGGGTGCAGAACTGCCCTGCCGATCGCGGGATATCCGAATGGCCCACTCAAGTGAGAGAACCTGGAGCATCCGAGGATGCTATGTGGCCGGTTTTTCCGATTCCCTTGGAGAAGTGTCAAAAGTTCGATTGGGAGCCAATTAATGCCTGACCTTGGATAATAGGATTAAGCAAATCCCTCACGTGTTCGGTTTCATCTATAATCCATTGATTGATTCTGAAGTGAGCCTAGCAGCGAAGCAAGGGCCTGATAATCCGCAGGTACTGATACTCAAAATTAACTTGGGGCTTAGGGTCTTTACTAGATGGTCGGTCAATATCTACTGATGTAAGAAAGGGAGGGTGGTTGGCCTATTGTTGAAAGATATTCTCGAGTTCCGAGGAGTGCAACAGTCTATCTACGGTGGACTGATAGTAGTAGTTAGATGTTTTGATGGGCGATTAAAAAGCTACACGCACCCCGTTTTCCTCGCCGTCTAAACATTCTGCCGACGAGCAGTGGGTCTGGAGGACGGAAAAGAAAACAAAAAATGCTTCCACGCGGATTCGAACCGCGGACCTCATGATTACTAGTCATGCGCTCTACCAACTGAGCCATAGAAGCTGGTTGATATCTGTTCTACGAACGTTGAGAACTATGTGGCCAAAGTATCTTCACCGCCCCAACGTTCACCCTCCCCTGAAAGTCAAGCTTCATCTTCATGACCAGTCAGGCCTCTGTAATGCGCCTCTGTGCATTCCACACCGTCGCACATATTTAACACCAGCATTTACCGTCTACTCCCACCAGTTACGGATCTGTCCTTGTAAGTGGGACGAGAAAATGGGACTTTTGTCCCCTGTTTCTCATCTTAATGCACAAATCTTGTACGAGACGATGTCATCTTAAGCGGAAGGACGAATTTCTAGTCAGGTTCTCGTCTTCCAAGAACTTTGATATAGTACCTGTCTGGGGAAAGAAGGGAAAAGCATCAAGCTAGCAGAACATCAGTGATCGGTCAAAACCCTTAGTCATGCATCTGACCTGACTACTGTTATAAGAAATATATATTTGTACCAGCATCGTATAGAATACTTTAGCCACATACTATGAGTGTTAAGGAACATACCGTTTCATTGCTTTTCATTTTCAGTAACATCATGAAATGAAATATATCCAGATGGCTATTTATCCAAGTAGATACAAGTCAAGTAAAATACACAGAATTTTCCAGCCTTTCCTATAACCTCCAGCTTGACAGAGTAATACGAAGTTGGCTGTATACCTCTGTTATCCAGTCTCATCTGCGATTTTGATCGCGGTTATGAATTGCATACTACAGCCTTCGATTGGTCATGCTCAGTAGTCATACAGGTTGCAATATTTGTTGTTAATGAATTACTCACCGACAGAATATCTGTTGTTTTCAGATTACTCCTCTAGCTAGATCTGATGTAGTCGAATGAGCCCCTCCCTTCACCACCACCCGAACAGAGCCATTTGACAGACGGTAAGCAGAGAGGTGTTCTAGATTGTTCGCGACACGTCGTTAGTGTCCACTGCCGGTTTCCAAGTGCATGCAAGCTGTACGTAAAAGTTTTGTTCTAAAGGAGAGATAGGTCGCAGCTGTATTTCTATTATGCATCTTAGATATATCACGAACCCAACTTACGGGGTTAGTCATGTCGCAGGATGCTTCTGTCTAATAGATATTTACGGCGAGGTGTCAAATGCTGTAGTTGTCCGTCTTTACAGCCTGTGCTCGGTTTCCGCAGCAAGAATCGCAGTCGGAAACTGTCTTATCTACTGGGGCCTCTAGTTTAGCATGCATCATTTACAATTGGATATTTGTGATACCCTATCACGAATAAGTACTGCCACTATCTTCTCAACAATACCATTTGCAGAATTTCTATGAAAGACTGGTCACATAATACATTTGTCGGCACATTCTTGATTAGGACATCGCAAGCCCTGTGCGACCTTACGAACTCGGACTTTCGTCTTTTTCTCTTCGGTAAATACTTTTCCTGTAGGATCTATCATCTCCTCAACGCTTTTGGGTTTAGATAGCCCTTGTATTTCTGCGCTTGCGCTATACCCCGCTATCTCCTCGACTCAGAAATACAGTATGTCCAAACTCCATCTGGAACATCCACGGGAATGAAGTGAATAATGAATCACTAACTGAAATAAGAAGAACTAAAAAAATGAAAACAAATGTATATAGCGCGGTGAAATGAAGTAGAAGCAAGCAGAGATATGTTCCAACAGATCACCTGGTAAGGTTCTCACGCCCAGCCCATAACACACGCCTACATGAGCCTATGTCAAGGATCAATTCGACTTTCTTCTATGCAGCATCAGATTTCAACGCACTGTAATTCACCATAGCAAGCAGACAAGCTTACCGCCAGGGCAATAGCTCGTTTGAGAGCATTGTATTTGAATCACAGCCCGTCCACGCAAACTAGGATGATGTGTCTTCGAGTAACCCACTCCTTTAAGCAGGCTACTCACAGCCTCCAATACAATCTCCAATTCGATCTATTGAACGTACATCATGCCTCACCTGTCCGTCTTGCAGGCTTCCAAGATGACAGCCCTTCTCCAAAGCAGGGGGCAATCAAGACACGCGGCGTTGAGTTCCGGGTAACTCTGCATAATCAATAATTGGGGTTCATCCCATGGATCAGTCTTCGGCGGGGTTCAACTTGTTCAATATACATAGACCGGAAACTGTCCATTGAGCCGAGTGAAAAAAATACCTCCGAGTTATTGCACGACACATAACATCTCCAATTCAGCGCCGGTTATGATGGA